TGGGTGTGAGGGGCTCGCCAAGTTGGATGAGGTGCTATCAGGAGGAGGAGGGGGGGTCAGAAGTGGTGGTGGCTGGAGACAGTCAGCAGGAGAGCCAACAGGGGCCGGGGCAGCAGTGTCAAACCTATTGAAGAACAGATTTAACTCATTGGCCCTAGCCACACTACCATCAGCTCCACTGCTAGTTGGTCTGTAACCAGTGATGGTCCTCATACCGCTCCAGACCTCCTGTTACCTCATGTTATTCTGCTGGAGTTTCCTCTCCAGCTTCCTGCTGTAGCCGTCCTTAGCCTCATTGATCTTTGCACTCAGCTCCCTCTGAAAAAATGGAGTAAAATATTAAAATGTTTTGGAAAACTTTTGAAAATTCATTGGTAATGTGTGGGAACCTTGAATAACATCAGTCGGAAAGGACCAAACCACTAGTTTTGATGCGATACTTGAACTATATCAAGCACAATACTTATGTTGTTTTACTGTAGTAAAAATATTCACGCAGGACTTTACCTGTAATGGAATTTGTTTTTTTACATTGTTGTATTGGTACTTTTATTATACTTCAACCTCTGAGTGCAACACATTGCTCAACACCATTCCAACCCACACAACTATGCTTAAATGTACATTTAGCTAAAATTGTATTAAAAATTTACTCTCAAATGTTTCAACCACTCTTGTTGGATGGTTTTTGATAACATATCATTGTATTGTAATCAAGATTACAACGTATATGGTCTTTAAAAGTGTTTATCTATTTTAGGGTACATGCTGATCGGGGGTGGAAAATGTAGACGTGGCATGCCTCATGTTCACAGTCCGTGGCGCTGGAAGGAGCAGTTTCATATCCGGGAAGAGTGTTCACAACCAACGGTTTGTTTAACAGAATAACTGTTAACTGAGAGCTGGCACCTCACTGATGTCATGTAGTGGCAGTGTGTTAGCATACAACTGCTAGCAGGATCACTCTTATCTGTGGTATTTTTGGTAGCATGTCACATTTTCATAAAGTATAATAGCATACAGTATATATGTAACAAGATTTAATTTTGAAGGTCAAATAAAAGAGTCAAAGGTATGGTTTCAACCATTAAATCATTTGGACTATATTTCAAAATAAATCTATTTTTGTTGACTTGAAGATAAAAAAAAAAACAACCTTTTCTTAAAACAAATCCTAATGATGTTGCCTTATTTTGGTATGTGAGAATTTTAGTGGAGGTTTTCTTAATTTTTTCTATTAAGTTAAAATAGTATTTGTCACTTTTTAACAAATTTCCAGGATTGAGCGGCTGTGGAGAGACCTGTGGGCAGCTGTAACAAACATCTACTATGATGTTCTCCACTACCTTGAGGAAGAGGGCTTCCTCAGCATTGCTAACGCTACACACCTCTTCACTATGATATCAGTTATTTTCTCATCATTTGTACCAAAGTGCTCCACACTCTCTGTAAAGCATGCATTTGTTACTTTGAATATTACAGATAACACAAAAGTATCTACCTAGCAAAAAGCCATGATAAAAATATATCATAGGTTCCTGTCTACTCAAAGCCATTTGTAGTGTAAACATCACTATTGTGAAATGCATTCTATGTCCGTTGTTGTTTACTGTATTGAAAACCATTGCATTTTCCACAAGTCACTTTACATGTTTGCCATCTCGTCGTCCTGTAGAGTTAGTCTGAGATGTTTTCCTCATGTGGATGTAAATCTCATGGTTTTTACATGTCACTCTAATACCTCACTTAAATAATCCTTCCTTGTTCTTAAATGACCCTGGTCGGCTATTTTATAGTCATTTTTATCCTGACAAGATCAGACCTATAACTCATCAGTAAACTCTCTTTAGACAACTGTTTCTGGAAATGTGTGCCTTCTGCTAGAGCTGCTGCTGCTGCTGCTCTCTGCAGCATGTGGTCACATGTTTTCCGTTCATAGTGTCATTTTGAGGACTGTTAATGAATGATGATAATGAATGAAGGGGTTTTCTTTAAAAAAATAAAAATGCAATGGACACCTTCCCCCACATTTCTGTTTTAACTGTTGTTGAGAAATTGTTACAAGTAAGAATGTCATTTCAAACTAGTGAGGACATGTTAAGTAAGGGATAATCATTGAGTAGGTACGTATCAAACACACACCTGAGTTGATAATCCCACTTATGCAATGATCATTTGCCTAAGAAACAAAGAGGTGATTATTAATATGTTTTCATGTGTTTAAAAATCAAATTTTAAAATTTCATACAAGCCCTACCTCGGTTTCCTGGGTAATGCCTGAGAACTTGACTAATACTTCATTACAATCATTACGATCCCATCAGCTATGGCCTCGCCAGTAGACAGATTGACAGTTGCGCAGTTAACTGTTATACTCTTTTATGATCAGTCAGCAGGCACATTAAAACCATTTGACACACACAGTTAAGTTCAAGATTAACCATTCTAAATTCAAACAACAAACTTGATGTACATCAGGGGCTGTTTTCACAAAACATTTTATTTTAACAACTAGGATGGCAGTAAATGTCAATGAAAGTTCCTACTTAAATGTTCAATATTGAACGACTTTTAGAATTGTGTGTGAAAAAAATTCATTAAACTTCACATTTATATTTTAACAACACTTAAAAACAAACAAGCTTAAAATATTTGGGAACAAATACAAAATAAATCAACTTGAAGATAAATATCAACGGCTAAAATAACAATTCAGCTAAAAACAAAGGGAAATAATCCACGCTCATGACAGAGACAGACAGGCAGACAGACCGCACACAAGACCAAATCCTGTCTCACAAGTGTTCACATAGGACAGGATGTGTAGTGTAAAAGTTTGTGCCAACAAATCAAATAGTAAGATTAAGATGTATAAATTGATTAAGAAACTCATATAATCATGTTTTATGTATAAGGCATTATAAAGCTCTTTGATCTACATTTAAATATGATAAAACATTGCTGTATGTGTCAAAGTACTCATAGCACCATAGCACCAGACTATGTAATCATGTTGTATGCACCTACTGAAAGAACACACTGTGCCTTGTTAAACGATGAAACACATACTCAAATGCTGTAATACATACACACATTCACAGATTGCACTCTAAAGGTTCACCTTGCATAAGACTGAGAGCACTGAGGACTGTATAGAAAGTCCCCAAAATACACATGTTTTTTAAAAATAGAGTGAAAGCGAAACCAGACCTAAGGGAAGAAAACTTGGGAAATTCCAGGCTGCATTACACCATTAAAAATGGGCCCAATCAGAATTGGACACAAAGAAAGGTTTTCCACCAATAGAATTGGTCTTAAGAGGGAAAGATTAGCAAAAAGAGGTGGAGACTCATTTGAATCTCCACCAGCATATAAGCCAGGGTTCTGAGAGCAGGTTTTCAGTCACACTCCGGAGTCTGACTCGCTAAGTTGTATGTGTTAAAGCCTGTTGACACATTAAACTTGATTGCATCGGACTTTGCCTGTTTCCAGTGTTTCTTTAAGTATTTGCCAGCTGAGCCTAAGGTACCGAATCGACATCTGAAGACACCTGATAAGAGACAAGAGGTTCAAGGTCGGGAGCCTACAGGCCCACTTCCAGGCACCGATTTTTGACACTTCAGATGTCATTTTTGAAAGATGCAAAGTCTTTGTAGTGCCCTGGGATGCGCAAGGTCTCAAAGCGGGTGGAGGCTGTGGGGTATCTCCCCATGATGACCTCTACTGTGAGGCTTTGAGGTAGTCTCTCCCATCCAGTCCAAAATTTGACCAGATTGGTCAGTTCGGTTGGTGTTGCTATATAACACATTAAAATGGATTAAAAATGAACAAATCAAATCACTAAATTAATCACTAGTCATAAGTGAAAATGAACACATACAGCACTAACAGCTCAATAGAAGAGTTATCTAACCCTTGAGATAAGGTTTTTAAATAACAGTAATTTTTAGAATACTGAACCTGTTGAATACTATTGAGCTAAAAACAGCAACATTCACATCTAAAAATCATCCCACGTGAAGTATATATTGATTTTTTAACAGCTAAGTACCCTTTATATCAAGTTAGCATAATATTTAAAGAAAAATAATGCTTTTTAGCACTTCTGAGTATCCTCTGTTAACCTACCATTGGCAATGAACTGCAGCAGATAGCCTGCCGTGTGGCATTTTGTAGCAACAGAGCAGTCATCGTCGTCATCATCACCGTCTTCACGCGGCCAACTGATCCGCTGAAGAAGTACCTGCAGTGAAAAAATTGCATGAGAAAGGCTTGAATTACTTCATAATCTTTCAAATTTTTATATGGCATATCAGTTTTACGCTCGTAGTTCTTTGATCAAACATCACTAGTTGGTATTTTTGCAAAAAATATCGATTCTGTGTTATGTGATAGTATGAAGAAAGACATAAATAACAAGAACAAGATTGAAAATTGACAATATTTGATGCAGAGCAGGTATATACAATATTAAAAGTATTCGACAAAGGCATAAGAAAAAAAACGGCAACAAAAAACACAAGATCAGAGCAATTAAATTTACCTCAGGGCTGATATTTCCTGCTCCCTCTTTGGGAAAAACCAAGACCACTGTGTCAGGTCTTTGGGTGAGGAGTGACCACACTGGGGCCTCTTTGAGACCTCGTCTCAGTTGTTTTGTCTATCTTGTGATGCGTCCGATAACCGCCCACTCCTTTTCGGACATGTAAACGCAAGACCTCTTAGTGCGTCTCTGTTTCTTTTTTTGTTTGTATTGTATATTGTTTGCTTTTGTATTATTATTATTTATTTATTTATAGATTATTTTTCTAATTCAGTGGCTTTGCACTTGTTCTTGTTACAAATACTGTTTTTGTTTTGTTTTCTTCTGCTATTTATTTATTGATTTGTTTGCATGTTTCGAAATAAAGATTACTAAACTAAACTAAAAACCTGATAAAATTAAAGACAGGGTAGAATACAACATTCCTTCTTCTTAAATAAGCTCAGAGAGAAAGCTATTCAAATATATTTAAGAATATAATTCAATTTCAATGCATTGTTTCTATCCACTGGTGAATGAGGTAATAATGATAAAACTCCTTGCATTTGCAGTATTACAGACCACACACTCTTTTGTGTTTCCAGTGAAATAATTTGGCACATAGGAAGTGATACATTTTACATCAACCATGACATTTTTTCCCTTGGGAATGAATGAACCAGATAAAGTGTAACAATTTAATGCTGTAAGACTGATAGATAAACTTAGCATGTGCATTTTACCATTACATCATTCACATGATAAAAACAAAAGTTCATTGCCACTTTTAACTAGACAAGGGACTCAAGTCATTTGGTTCACGTTTAAAAAAAAAAACAAAAAAAAACAAAAGTCAAGTCATATTGTCTTGGGCAATTCAACTCCAGTCTCGACACGAGTGGAGGAAACGAGGAGACAAATTGATGCAATGAGAAACACCCCATCAACAGGTGATATGGCCCCATAGAGACAGACAACCATTCACACCTCTTTTTTGACCCGCCTATCTCTCTCTCAGTTCACCCCAATCTCCCTCACAGACTTACCTGTTCTCATGGTGGGAATGAAAGCTGCCACTTGCACCCTGGGCCCTGTCCCATCCCATCTTATCAAGGCCTGCCTTCCCACTTTATCACCGCTCATCACAACAATAATTAACTCCTCCCTATCTACTGGCTCAACATTCTCATACTACTTGACCTGAGTGCAGCATTCAACACCATCAACCATTCCATCCTTCTCTCCCGCCTTGAAACCACTCTTAACATTACCGGCACTGCTCTCTCCTGGCTCAATTCCTACCTCTCCGACAGACACCTGTTCATCAGCATAAACAATTGCAAATCCCCCACTGCTCCCCTCTGCCAAGGTGTTCCCCAAGGTTCAGTTCTCGGCCCCCTCCTCTTCATCCTGTACATTCTCTCCCTTGGTCACATAATCCGTCGTTATGGACTTCAGTTTCAAAGCTTTGCTGATGACATTCAGCTCCACATCTCCACCAAAGCCATCACTCCTGCCACTCACTGTACCATCACCAGCTGCATCACCGAAATAAAATCCTGGCTGCAAACCAGCTTCCTAAAACTTAACTGTGACAAATCAGAAGTCTCATCAAACCCACCCATAACTTGTCCCTCTCCATCGATGGCTCCACTGTGCTCTCCTCCCCCCATGTCCCTAACCTTGGTGTCATCTTCGACCAGACACTCTCCTTTGACCACTGATGGGAATAACGGCATTATAAATAAACGGTGTTACTCACGTGCTACTTTTTTCAGTAACGAGTAATCAAAAAGGTTACTGTTTCCCCTATTATAACGCTGTTACCGTTACTCACAATAAAATGCGCCGTTACTTGGCTTTACTTGAGTTCACTGAGGAGACTTTCACCCAAGCAAGCTCCATCTCAGTGGAGCTCTAAAGTTTTTTTTCTTTGGTGAGCGCATAGGTGAGGGGGAAGGGAGGGAGAGACAACCGCATAAGTGATGATGATTGGCTTAGGGAGAGTAAAATTTCATCATAAACCAATCAGAGGCAGAGTAGGGCAGGTATTCACAAGCACACAAGCAGGGCTGTCAGGTCCACTTAGTAGCCGCGACTTTGGGCTTGTTCTTTTGTAAAGTCACGCCTACAAATATTGGTAGTCGCGGGTTGTGTTTCTTTGAGCTTGCTTCCAAAGTGGAGTTGCTTATTTGGGCTTTCTCTCTAAATGTCACCTTTCTCTCTATATATATGTCCATCTAATCAGTTATTCAAACGCATTTTAGTACGTCGGACTGCAGGATGAGCACAGTGAATTTGAGCAGTTTGAAAATATATTATTTGAATTTTTTCAGACTTGATTTTTTTTTATTCTGAATTTGTGAACATTGAAAAACAAAAGTAAACAAAAATCAGTGTCACAAATTCAATGCAAAAAAAATTCAGTGTTATAAATTCAATTTCAACTGATGATGAAACTGTTATGTTTCCATAGTTGTGTGGTTACTTTTC